AAGCCTCTTCTCTGCAAGTTTGTAACAATCTGTCCACCACAGACGGCCGCCTTCCCTTTGACCCACACGCCAGAGAAGCAGGCTGATTTTTCTCTATTCGCATGTCGGATCTTCGGCTCACATATAAGAAAGACTGTATTTTAGGGGTTGGCGGCTGGCAGAGAGCTGAGGCCCTGGTACTGATTTGTTCTGTCACCTGGTGAGCCATCTTACTCCCATCTCTGCATCCATAGCACAGGGAGGAGTTTCCTCCCCAGGGTCCCTGGAGCCTGTGGGGACAGGAGAAGAAGGGTAGATGGGAAAGGGACTGGAAAGGGTTAAGAGCGGAACGTAGTTTTGCTTTTCTCTCGCCAGTTTCTGAGCAATGAGGACTCCGTGGCGCGCACTCAGCCCCACATCTGTCTTCGTTAGGAGTTGTTTACAAAGAACAGAAATTCACTCAAGCTGGCATCAGTAGATTGGGTTAGGCTCTCAGAATACAGCTGTTAATCACGCGGGCATCCAGATTCAGGAAATAGGGTTCAGCTGGGACGCAGCGGCACCAGAGCGGGATTTCAGAAACAGGTCCCTCTCGCCCTCCTCAGGGGCTGTGCAATTTCTCTCATTTGCTTCTCTGTCTGCTGATGCTCTGGTGTCTGTCTTCCTCGCTTCCCATCTCCATTCCTTTGTGAGAAAAGTGGGCTGGGATACTGTGTGTTTCCTTGCTTGTGCCTGGTCCTGCCTCCAGTTTACATAAGTCTCTGTCCCCACCGCCACCATCCTCTAATCAGTACTTCCCCATTTTCACATCCCTGCCACACTTAAAAAATGATCACTGTTTATCTTCTGGGATAAAGAGACAAGGCCGGTGTCACCAGAGGCCAAGGACTCTTTGAGGGGTGGAGGTGGGGGGTTCCAGCCGCCCTAAGGGCTGAGAGGATCGATGTGGCCCCTTCCTCTGACTTCTCTGTAGCACGCTGGCTGGGAAGCTCTGCCCTTACTGAGCCGAACTTTGTGTTCAATTTCTAAATCTCCAGGAGGGAGTAGGCTTGGTCTCACATCAAGTGTCTATACCTGCTGCAGTCACCTGTGGCCTGAGGCTGGCACCTGTGGAACAGACATGCCCCCCAGGGTCCCCACTGCAGGGGTGGCAGGGGGTGCATGGGGCAGGGACTGGCATCGCAGTTGGAGCATCCAAATAGCAAGCAGGTCCAGCGGCTTCTCAGGCTCCTTTCCTCCCCCGAGGGCGAGGACCTTTGCCCTCAGTCTCTGTTGCCCCACAGCATCTGGCACAAATCCTTGGTAGGATTTAGATGCTCAGTAAGTATCCATTGTTGGATAAGCACACCTGGGTACGTGCATGGTGTACACGAAGTGTTCGCTGAGGGAGACATTGACCTATCTGGGAAACTCAGCCGTCTCCCCTGCCCCCCTGCGTCTTGTCCCCAGACACTGCTTCACCCCCATTTCTCTAGCACATCTTGCAACCAGGGCGTTCGTGCCATTTTCCTCTTTCTTGTTGCCATCTGAAGTCTCAAATGGAGAGCCGTTAACCAGTGAGGCAGGCTGCCTGTGTTTTTTTCTCAGTATGAGGCATTTGGAACCAATTGTGTGGTGGCCCCTTGGAGTTAGCTGTTTAGAAGTAAAACAACACACACTAATACTGCATTGTAAAAATGTCTTTCCGGCCAGTGTCTTGGACTTTTGTGTTTCTGTGGAAACGCCCGTCTAAATTTCCTGCTTTATTTTTTTTCTTAATGGTCAGACATTAACTTGGCAAATTCTACTATTTTTTAAATGCTGCTGATGTCAAAGCAAGCAGCGGCCAGGCCATGCCTTTCAGAGATAAGAAACCAGCATTCACTAACTGGAAATCAATTGCTGCTGGTTGACATCCTGCTGAGAGTGACAGAGACCCTCGGCTTAATCAATTTCATCTCAGATCCTTCCCTCGTCCTGTTTTAGAACAGCTTTATTTCGCAGAAAGAGAGGTGTGAATTGATGTTTCTTTGTAGGACTAAGGGGATATAATACTTTGTTCTGTATTTACTCTCATATTTATTTCTGTATGGAGTACGTAGCTCTTTTTCACTTACTCTACAGGAATCACTTGGATGCATAAATCCAAGGACATGTGTTTGCAGCTCTCACACATCTGTCTTGAATTTCATCTTTTCCACCCTGTCTTCTACTTTCCAAACAATTTACCTCCCTCCTTCTCTCTCCCTGCTGTTATTTATTTCATTATGCGGTGAAGCCCTTTCATTCCAAGAACTGGCGGAGGGGAACAGTGCAGGCCACGATCTACTTCAATATAAAGGCATCTGGGAGTCGGGCGAGCACAGCTTCTTTGTAGAGGATGCGATTCCTTTTGCTCGGAACACAGCTGGTCCAGAGCACAGAGCAGCGTGGCTGCCCCTGTGTCCAGAGCTCTGGAGGAGTCTGGCTTGCTGGGTTCCCAGTGAGGTAATGTTCTTCCCATCCTGGACCAATCCAGTCCCATCTGTGGAGGGCCTTCCTGTGCCAGGCTCCATGCAGAACGGTCCCTTATGAGTCTCCTCTTTGATCTTTTATTTATTTATTTATTTTCCTCCCAGACTGGGAATTTCTCACATCATTGTAAATGTTTCCTCTCCTCCCCTTGTCATTTGGCTGGGGCTCTAGGGAGACTTCCTGAAGCAGGAAAGTGGTAACAAGGGATTTAACTGGGCACTCAGAAAGTTCTGCCAAGAAACAGAGCTTTCTATGCAGCCAGGGCAAAAACCCAAAAAGCAAAATAAAACAAAACAAAAACCCTGACGAAATAACAATCAAGAAGGAAATGGAAGAGTCCTCTGCTGAGTGCTTATGGCTCCACGCTGGACCAGGTATGGAGGGTGCTGACACGATAAACATCTCACAGACCACACTTCCTGATCCTATTTTCATTTGGAGGGAGGACCTGGAAACGCTCACCCTGAGGCCTTGTGATTTATAGCGTTTGGGTTAGTAGGTGTTACGCAATCGCGCTCCTAATCTACTGGAAGCTGCGGAAAGTTTGGAGCCTATTTGCCTGATTTTCTTTTTTGGATAACAACTTATTTAGTAGCTGTTCAGGAACCATGGTGAATGGGTTAGGACGAAATACCAGCTTGCGTGTCTTTTCATGCTGCTTCTGTAGGGTCAAATGTGCGAAGCTGGTAAACACACCCTTTCTTGGCCTGAACGTCACCACCACCATCATCATCACGTGTTAAATACCTAGCAGACTCAAGACACTGGAGATGCAAAAGCGGCATAAGCTTTAGTCCCCTGGGGGCACTCATCTGATGAAGGAGATAAAGATAGTCTTTGGTTTCAAGCCCTGGAAGGATGAACACAGTGGGGTTCTGGAAAGGTGGAATTCTCTTTTGCTATTGACTTGGTGGATTACTTCACATCTTTAAATTTCCTCATTCTTGTCATTTATGAAATCTCCCTCTCTTTCTTGTTGGATCTTTTTACCGCGGTACCTGGTCCTAGGGGTCTATCGTGTGCAGTAAGTCAGTGCTGGACGTGTCATTCAAGTGCTGAGTTTGAGAGTCAGTAGAAAACCAGAGCCTGGAGTTCCAAGGTCATGGTTTGTCAGTCCACCGACAACTGAGGAGGCTGGGGGAGCTCTGTTGTCCTCCCTTGAGAACCTGCACTAATGCCATCTCCTGGGGGAAAGGTCTGTTTTCAGATGAAGAAGGATTCTTAGTATGGATTAAAAAATTTTTTTAAATAAAACCTTGCTGGCATATATATATATATTTTTTTTCAGAAGTCCCTTTATCAACTCTGGTTAGGCCCCAAATTTGATGGCCTTTCATCTTGTATTCAACCTCGAGGGATGGATTAGTTGGGGTAACTTGATGGTATCTACCATCTTCTGGCTGAGGAGGAGGGAGGGTGGGAGATACCACTGCCTTGACATGCAGCTTCCTCCAGCAGAATCCCCAAATCTGCAAGGGACATCACTCTTCCTTCCCCAGGGTCCTTACTCCTAGGGGTCCTTTCTTCCCTTTTTTTTTTTTTGTTTCCACCTTATGGGCCCTAGAAAAACATGGTGTGCAGACCCTCAGAATTCATTTCTCTTTGGTTTGAAGGTAAACATTCTGGGTTGAACTTGCATGGTGACTTCGTCTCTCAAAGGAGGTGGCAGATCCCAGATCCCAGTGTTCCAGTAAAAACACACTGCTCAGGGTGAATGTGGGCATACTTCCCGGGGCTATCAGCAGAGGGATGGATCCGCAATGACACAAGCCACAGAAACCGGATACCCTCCCCCCAGAAGCGATTGCCTTGAGGGCTGTGATGTGGTCTCTCCCTCCCATTCCACATCGATTCTGGCTCATTGTCCTCTCTGCTCTGAAAACTCCTGGCTGCTTCTTTAGTTCTTTTTTCTTTATGGTTTTGGCCCTCAGCTGTTGTGACCAGCCACTCCCTTAAGGTTCCAAACCACTATGCCCAGCAGAGGCAGCTATACCAGATGGAGCTTTAGGAGATCCCTCTGTCAGCTTGTGAGAGCTGCAGCATGGGGAAACCAGCTGCCTCTCCCTCCGTCTGTGCTGTCAGCCAGAGAGGACTTGGCAGCCACATGTCCCTTTGTCCTCCGGCAGCTGCTCATCTCCTGGCCTGCTGAGTCGTGAGGGCGGGCAGTTGTGTGCCACAGTCCATGAAACTCTTTAATTGGTGTTGCAAGGGGGACCAGGTTCCAAGTAGAACGAACAAGTCCGAGGTGAATGAGAGGGATTAAGAAATAGCGTGCATTTCAGCACTTTTCGAAAGCATGAGCAAGCAGAAAACACTGATGTTTTGGTCTTTTTATTTGTGAGTATCATTTCTTATCTCATTAACTCCTTGTTGTTGTTGACTGAAGACAGTCTAAAGGTGCAGTTGTCTGAAAGGAAGTTTAGTGGCCAAGGTGCTGGGTGAATGACTCCTAGGAAGGAGGGAGGAAGGAAGATGGAGGCGGCGGCCACTGTGTCTCTGCACGTGCAAAACTGCCACCCACAGCCGGTGCCGGCAGCCAGGCCCCGGTCTCTGAGCCACGTGAAATACCACTTTTTAAATTGTCTATCTTCTCATGTCTGTCCGCAGGGTCACCATCAGCCCCTGTTGTCTGCGGGGGTCGTGGTTAAAATTAGTGTCCATTTCTTAGTTGTTCTGCTACCCGCCTCCAGACCCTACCCCACCT